CCTGTGAGGAGCATCTGAGGAAACTGGGGCTGTTCAGTCTGAAGAAAAGGAGGCTGAGTGGAGACCTTATTGCTCTCTACAACTGCTTGATAAGGGGATTGTAGCCAGGTGAGTGTTGGTCTCTCCTCCCTATTAACAAGTGATACGATAAGAGGGAAAGTTGTCGCAGGGCAGGTTTATATTAGATATTGAAAGAAACTTCTTCACTTAAAGGGTCATCAGGCACTGGAACAGGCTTCCCAGAGAGAGGGTTGAATCATTACCCTGGAAGTGTTTAAAAGAGATGTAGGTGTGGTGCTCAGGGATATGGTTTCGTGCCAGACTTGCAGAGTTAGGTTAATGGTTGCACTTGATAATGTAAGAGGTCTTTTCCAACCAGAACAATTCTGTGATTCTGTAATGCAGGTGGAACGTGGTAGTTCTCCATGTTGTGGAGGTTTCTAGACCCTGTTTGTAATGGGAAGATGCCAGGTTGCGTTACTTGTGTGTACTAGACTTAAGTAACTTTAGCTGAAATTTTCTGCAGTGGCTGTCTGCTGTGGCCAAAAGCTTTTCAGTGGTATTGGCCAAGTGCTTTTGGATTGGGGGTGGGAACATGTGTCTGGTATTTTCATGTGAAAAGTTTTGGTACATGAAAGATTTTCAAAAAGCATTGCCATCTTTCCAGCATGGAATGTCTGACAGAATTTGGTTCTTGTATTTGGAGTGCATCTTTTCCTTCTAAAAGTCCTTTAAAATTTGACCATATTATCTGCTGAAATACAGCATTTTTTTTTACTTTTATTCTAGATCAGTTAGCGCTTGAGAAATCCCAGTTACTGTTGCTTTTCTAGCCACCAGTGTCTGATTTGGTGCATGTTTGCATTGCTGCAGATGATCTAACTCGTTCTCCCTGGTTTGTTTGGACATTCTTGAGGATTCCTTGCTTTGCTCTGGGGTAAACTGGGATAGGATGCTGAAAGGGCAGGTGCCGACGCTTTTTGCTGCTCTTAGTGACCTTGATGCTGAATGTTGATGTAGTTGGAGCAAACTGAAGCTGGACAAGCTGAGCATGCCAGAACATGGAGGCAGTGCTGGGGAAGAAAGAAGGTCCTGGCAAAGTCCTGACGGAGAATGAGAGATCTCATGCAGAAGCTCAGCTGACTAATGCTGTCCTGAGCAGTTTCTTCTCCCTGCAGCTTGTAATTAGTGTCCTGAATAGCCCTGGGCCCTGGACTATCATTCGTGGGGTTCATTGCATCTTTCTCAGTATGAGGATCTTGTTAGCTTTTCTTTGATGAGTGAAAGTATTGCATGCTGACAGTTGCAATTCTAGTCAATATGATCTGTGTTTTGAATTGCATTTGCTCTGTAGGAATTTCAAAGGTCTGTAATGAAGATGCCTGTCATATTAGTACTTCACAGACATAGGTTACTGTGGAGCATGAGGGAAGTTTCCAAGAGCAATTTTTCTGAATAAGTGGAATGCACTGGAAGTATGAGAATGAAGAGGAAAGGAGGCCATTGACTGGTTCATTAGATGAACACCATTTTCATGCTGGACTGAGCAAGGCTGGGAGTGTGTGATAGTGTACTGCTTGCTTTATCATGTATACACGTGCAGGAAGGGATCAAAGTCTGAAGATAAAATTAATAAGCTGTGCTGTTCTTTCATCCTGTATCTTGAAGGCTGCTTGTCTTGGCAGCCTGAATGCTATTTTAATGCTGAACTGGTCTGTGAGCTGCATTGTGCACAAGTTTGGATGGGTGTGCATACAGATAGAGTGTGTGTACGTGTAGGGACTTGGCGTTCCAAGCGAGGAGTGTCTGGATTTCAGTTCTGAATGTTTGGAGGTTAATTTGAAGGTTAACCTAAAATGTGTGTTACTTCTATTCTGTGCAGTATAGGCAGACTTTTTCTTGTGCATGAACAGTCAGTTCTTAATACTGCTACATACCTTCAGAGTCATGTCAGGTTTTTTTGAGAACCTCTGGAGTTACTATTCTGTTTGACAGCATCTTCCGGGTTGTCAGATGGTAAAGTTGGCAAATCTCCTAAAGGCAATGTTTGGAAGCTCCATTTTATGGTGACTTAAGTTTCTTCGATGTTGCATATTCTTAAAGTTGTGTGGCTGGGACCACATAGTGTCCCACTTGCCAGTTGCACCACCTTAATTATTCTTCGCAGCCTCAAAGCCTGCTTTTATCTGTGAAGAGAGCACCTTTTTATATGCTAGGATGTCCTCCACTGCACACGATTACTTGATTTGCACCTGTCTGCAGTACAGTGAAGGAAGTTTTGTTGACATTTTTCTTGGTGTGTGACACTAGGGCTGGCATGCTCCACAAACCCGAAAGTCATTGTTACGGACCTTTTTCAGAGGAGATATTTAAAAGAGGAGTAAGTGGAGAATGGTAGAGGGCAGGGCTGGGTGCTGTTGAATCTGCAGTGTTGGTGAAGTTACCCTGAGCTGTTTTTTTAAAATACGAACTTCAGGCCAGAATTTGAGGGTTCAGTTTGTTTGTTTCTAGAGGTAAAATTATTTCCGTTGTAGAAGCACTTGCAAATGTATCCAATTGTCTTAGCAGCTGCTTCTTTTAGCTAGTCATAATGGAATAGAATGCTTAGCATAACTAATAAAAAGCTGTTTCTGATTACTTTTTAATATTTCATATGAAAACAGACTGTGAACAAATACTGCTGCATTCAACTTGCTTTAAATTTTTTAGATGGAAATGATTCCTCCTGTCATGATGCTGTGTTCAGGATGGACATGCTTTAAAAAAAAAGATCAACATTTTTCCTCTTATGTCAGGGTATTAAAATAGACCTTTGTGGACCTAGAATGAAATTTTGACAAACTTAATGTAGAGCTTTTTTTTTTTCTTTTTTTCTTTTTTCAATCAAATTATTGTCTTTAAGGCCTGTTGTTATCTGATTTTTTTTTGTTTGTTTTCGAAGTATCTTTAAATGCTAAGAACAATTAAAAAAACCCACAAACTCATCATCCTGTACTTGGCACTTATTAGCATATTGTTCCACATGCTTTTCTTCTGTTTCATATGGATTTTTAGGTGGTCACATTCCTGCCTTGCTGTTAGTCTAGGTGTTAAGTTGCAGACACTAAATGGTACTGTTGATCCTGTCTCTGTTTTGTTTACTGTGCTTGCCGTATGCTCTGCGGACACAGACAACTGTACATTTCCAGATGGTTACATGGATCTTCACCTGTCTCAAAGCACTTAGGCACAGTAATAAAAGGCTAGATAGCAAATTAGAAATACAGTCTCCTCTTTTGATCATCTTATGTTTTTTTTTCCTTTTCCGTAGGGCTTTTCCACACTGGGAAGTTACTGCCCAGTAAGCCAAGGTGTGAATATATTTATCTGCTTCATGTCTCTTACTTTGTGGGTGCTCTGCTGCTTTCCCAAGTCTGTGGGGGTTGTCCTGACTTTTTCCCACTTCCACACTGCTGCTGCTGTTGGCATCAAACAGGATGCAGCCGCATGGGTAAGAGTCCACTGCCCCCAAAAGTGTCCCTGTCCGAGTCTTGCTTCATTGTGAAGAATAAAAAAGGGACTTGCAGATGTCTGTCTCTACAGTGCTTGTTTCTTACTGTGTTCCCTTGCTGCCATTGCTAATTCTGCTTTCTTTCACAGGTGGTTACATTGCTCCTGTGTTTGACTTTGATCTGTTATTTCAGTGAAAAGCATTCATATTATTTAACCCCTAGAAATGCATGGAGTCAACAGCCAGGGACACCAGTTGCTTAAAGCCTCTGTAATGCCTGAACAATACCTTCACCACCACTAGAGGAAGCATCCAGAGTGTAGCTTTGAGCAGCATGCAGGCTATGGACATAAAAGGGAAGGAGATCCAAGAAAGACAGTTCTTCCTTGGAACAACAGCTATTCTGGGTGTTACCTGGGGGTGAGCAGTACTTGCAGGTTGCAGCTTAGGGGATAAGCTCAGCACTTAAACCATTGCCTTGCAAAACACTTCCAAGAATGTTGGTGTTGTCCAGAGGAGTGTCAAAGCTATTCTAACAGGGCCTTATGAATGCAAGAAACTCAAGACCAGGCATCATGGGCAAGCTGCAGAACAATCATCAGCCTTTCCTTTGGTTGTCCGGTGTCCCAGTCTGCCCTAAGGTGTCTGTATGCAGTTTTTTGTGTTTTTTTTTTTAATTTTGCTGTGTGTTTTGATGTCTGGGAGTGACTAAGCAAATCCCAGGTTTTCTGCTCTCCACAATGCCCTTCTGTGGCCACAAGTGATACATATGTCTTACGAGTGAAAATTACTAAGTGAAAATGGAATTTAGTGTCCCTAATAGAAGATACCTTTGAACCCTTCAGCCCCAATGTCTGTTCTTGGAAAGCACCTTTTATGGATGTATAGTGAGTCAAAATGAATTGATTCTCCTAATAAGAGGAGTCTAAAGAACTTCCTTCTGACTTCTGCCACCAAAAAATAGCCGTAGGTATTTTTGAGGAAAAAGGCTTCATCTGAGAAGGCATGGGCTGGCTTTGACTAAGGCATTAGAGTTTCACTTCAGTAGTTGTGAAAGAAATTGACTTGAGATATCTTTAGTGCTTTTTTGGTTTGAGTTTGTTTCAGTTTTTTTTGTTTGCTTTGTGTTTATTACTTTGCTCTGAAAAAAAAAAGTGGGAGAAGTGAAAATGAGAAAGAAGTAAGAACCCATGTCTGTTTTCTCTCTACTCTCAGTAAAAATATGTTACATTTTCATAGTAGATCTGGAACAAAAATCAGCATGCATGTTTCCCTAGTACTATATCTGTTACTCCAGTAAGTCCTGGAATATTTTTGGTATTTCATTAGTTACTATTTTAACGGTGAAGTTTCACATAAAAGTTAAATCATTCATTATTTGTCGTAGTACTTTTCATAATGCAGAGCTTGTAATGTTGTGCTTTATAATGTTTGAGTCCCTCTGACTTACCTTTTACAGGTGCTGTTTGTAAAATCTGGTTGTTAATGAATGGTTTTGTTCACTTTTTAGACGAGACAAGCTATGGATTTGCATGGAATTTTGTGGAGGTGGCTCTCTACAGGATATTTATCATGGTATGTCAAGACTGTAATTCCTTAAAACCTAAGTAAAGCCTTATTTTAAAAAATTGAAATTACAGTATGTTGGAATCGGAGAGGACGAATCCTAAATTTATTACCCACAGTCACTGAATGTCAATTTTAGCTTGTGTGTTTACATGATTGGTTTGGGTTTTTTGAAACAAAATTATAGGAGGATTTTTTTGAGCAGCAGAAGTTATTTCTTTCCTTCAGTAGCTCGTATACCTGTTACTGCTTTTCAAAGGCTGTAAAGTTAGACAATATAGTATTATTAAAATTAAAATTTATGTCCTGATGACCTGTCTTACTTCATGGCCATTTTGTTTCTGAGATTTTGACCTTTGCTTTAGTATAATATATTCCACTGCCTACAGATACCTAGATAAGTAGATTGATTAGCATGGATGCTCTTGCCCTTTGTAAACAGTGATCTTCTGTGTGTTTGTATAACAGCAGTGCCACAAGAATGTGGGGGTTTTTTTGTTTTGGTTTCCTGTTTTGTTTTTTTTTTTACCTTGGATTTGTGATGTTAAAAGCAAAGGTGGCCTATATATTTGCTTTTTTTTTAGCTTAGCTGTGACATGTGGTCAAAGAAATATGGGGCATGTGTGAATCTATTGCATAAGGAGATCATCAGTCCATTGATTGCTGGTTAGTAGGTGACAAAATCAGTTTTGAGGGATTTTATTGCCCTGAAATTAAGATTTGCTTAAGAACAAAGTATGCCGTAAGTGAATAATGGCTCTGTGGTTCTCAGGTGATATTTTTCAGACAGGAAATCCATCTATATTCTAACTTTTGAAGATTCTACGTGTTAGAATCTTTACATCCTTCTCTTATGCATGAGCAGCTTGTATAGCTTTTTTTTTTTTCATTTAACTTGGGTGCAATTCAAACAAGGCACCAGTTTACAAATTCACACCGTGGTCATTTGATCATGGCCTTGTAGATCTTTTACATCTTTGCTAGTGTTGATAAAAGCATTGAGTTTAATAGCCCTTTTTATGTGTAGAGTAGGAAATTATTTCATGTCACATAAATGCCTGAGCAGATGTCATACAGAGTGGTTTCCTAATGTAGCTAATTTTTGGCTTCCCTGTAGAATCAGAGTAGAGGGTTCTTTTCTGCTCTTAATTATGTTCCAAAGGGTCTAACTGCATTTGAACCATAGACCTCTGTAATCTTAAGTCATTGTAAGTTAATTACTAGATTTCTCAAAAATACACATACATACCTAGAAATACATACTCTGGATGCTAATATATTTGGTTGCACATGGGTTTGAAGCTTTTCTTTCAGAAAAGGGAAGATGGATCAAGACCTGTTTTGAAGATATGTTTTGCACGATACCAATTTGTATTATGGCTGTGGGTTTTGTAGAAGCTAAGCAGTTGGGTGCTTAAATATTGTTTCATTTTTAACTCCCTACTCTTTTAGTTTCCTTAGAAAAGTTGTATGAGGTTTCTCTATTTGTTTGCGAAACCTGAGAAGTTTGCAGTGAGGACTGCATATCCTGGTCTTAAAATCCTTTAATTTCGGATCAAAGTCCAGTGACGGGGGAAAAGTCACAGGCCATTCCTTGCCTGTTGTTCAGTGTTTGGTTTATGTATTTGTTTTCCTTTAAGGGGCTAGAGTGAAGAAGGAGAGGAAGACTCCTCCTTCCTATGGGGAGCTGCTAAGCCTGCTAAGAAGGAGAGTTTGAGAAGGTGCATTGTGTGTCAGGCCCAGGAGCATCAGTGCTAGTAGCTCATGCAGAAAAGGGTTGAGAAGCTTCAGAGAGCAGATGCCATGGCTGCAGGGAGGAGAGAGCAAGTCACATAGGAGCAAGAAGATTGGAAAGAAGGAGCAGGTTGGAAAGGGTAGAAGGAACTTTGTAAGGCTCAAAAGGGGCTGAGTAACATTTGTTGCAGCTCTGAGTCACTGGGTTGGAGTAGAAGGTCAGCAATGGATTTGTGCAGGGGGAAGAATTGTGCTTAAATTACTGCTTCTGTTTCGTTTTCTTCTTAATTACTTTGAGATTTATATATAGATGGACTTAATTTTCATTCCAGTGGGACTAGAAATTTTTTAGTCTAAAAAATGTTTGGTGTATCTCTGGGATGCTCAACCTGGGGGAAAATCTAAGCACATTTTCTTTGAGATTTCCAGCATAAGATCCTACCAGTCTGAATAGAAGTAATTGAGGTATGGGTTTGGAATGGTTAGTATTTTACCTGATTTTGAGAAAATTTTTTTTCCCTTCCATTTCAGTGACTGGACCACTTTCAGAACAGCAGATTGCCTATGTTAGCAGAGAAACACTACAGGTAGTGTGTTCTCAGGTTCTTGTGGTTGACTTTTAATGTAAAAGTATTAGAAGATAAAAATAAAAGCTCAAATACATGTTGATGCCATGGAAGTAGTGTTTGGGGGGATTTTGAGGAGGTCCTGTATTATAGTCTAGAACTGATTTTTATAATTGCATTACTTCAAATTATCCTGGGTCATTTGGAGAAAACTCATCATCTTTCTGCTGTTGATTTTTTGTAAGGGGGGGATGCAGAATAATTATTAATCCATATTTGTGGTACAGATTAGCTATTGCAAGGTTGAAGGAAAATTTAAAGACTCACTTTTGCTTATCCAATAGTTGATCTGTGCCAATACAAAATAAAATATTGTCTGTGTACTTGAGATGTTCAAGTTAAGGTCACCAGCCTCTTCTCACGGGTATGCTAGCTTTCATTTTTCTTTCCTAAATTAAAGGTTCAGTTCCCCAGTAAAATTTATTCAGAAGTGGCTTTTTTGGTGGAAGTCTTGCTCCCATGTGAGTGAGCAGTTCTTGGCTTCTAGTGAATGCAAATCTGTTGAATGCCATCACTTGAGAGCTGCTTCCCTTCTTAAATACACTCTCAAGATAGCAGTGTCCCCAAGCCAGCTCCCTTGCATGCCATTTACCCTCTCCTTGTGCTATGTCAGAGATTGCTGAGTTCTGACTTACAGGACATGGTTTTTTTTTTTCTTTACAGTGAAGTCTTATGTGACATCTGGGAGTGTGTGTTTTTTTTGAGCTTTGAAATCCTTTTGTTCTTATAGAAACACAGAACTGTTTGGGTTGGAAAGGACCTTTAAAGGTCATCTAATCCATTTCCCTCCTCAACAAGCAGAGACATCTTCAACTAGATCTGGTTGCTCAGAGCCCCATCCAGCCTGACCTTAAGTGTTTCTGGGGACGGGGCATATATTGCTTCTCTGGGCAATCTGTTCCAGTGTTTCACCAGCCTCATGGTAAAAAAATTCTTCCTTATATTTAGTCTAAATCTGCCTTCTTTCAGTTTAAAATGTTTACTTTTTGTCCTATCACTACAGGCCCTGCTAAAAACTCTGTCCCCATCTTTCTCATAAGTCCCCTTTAAGTACTGAAAGGTTGCAGTAAAGTCTCCCCAGAGCCTTCTCTTCTCCAGGCTAAACAACCGCAGCTCTCTCAGCCTGTCTTCACAGGAGAGGTGCTCCAGCCCTCTGATAATTTTAGTGGCTCTCCTCTGTACCAGCTGCAACTGGTCCATGTCTTTCCTGTGCTGAGGGCTCAAGAGCTGGACACTGTACTGCAGGTGGGGTCTCACCAGAGAGGAGCAGAGGGGCAGAATCACCTTCCTTACCCTGCTGGCTACACTATTTTTGAAGCAGCCCAGGTCATGGTTGGCTTTCTGAGCTGCGAGCACACAGTGCTGGGTCATGTCCAGCTTTTCATCCAGCAGTACTCCCTAGTCCTTCTCTGTGGGGCTGCTCTCAATCTTTTCATCTGCCAGCCTGTATCTATACTGGGGGTTGCCTTGACTCGGGTGCAGGACCTTTCACTTGGGACTTGTTGAACCTAATGAGATTCACATTATCCCACTTCTAGAGCTCATCCACGTTCCTCTGAATGGCATTCCATTCCTCAGACACTTAGCTTGGTGTCATTGGTGAAGTTACTGAGGGTGCTATTGATCCCGCTGTCTATGTTGCTTATGAAGTTCTGGTCCAGTATGGATCCCTGAGGGACACCAGTTGTCACTGATCTCTGTCTGGACATTGAGCTGTTGACCACTGCTCCCTGAATACAACTATCTATGCAATTCCTTATCCACTGAATAGTCCATCCAGTCCATCATTTTCATGGAATATGGATGAGTGATTTAGTAGTCTAGAATGGAATTTGTGAAACCACTGTGAAGTGTGTGGCAAGATTTCGTGGTTAATATGTGTAAATTGCTTGTGAGAAGTAAACTTACTACTTTGTATGTATTTTCTAAGTGTTATCCATGAACCCATTTTTGTATTTTTAAGTTGTCTTTCTAAATATGTTCTTGACCAAAGATAACATATATTGTTTCTCTTATCTTGTTGTAGCTTATAATGCAGCTGTCACTTTTCCTAGTAAAATGTCTGAGAATATAGGTCATCTATCTGTCCATAAAAGTAATTTGTCCAATGTTAATTTTGCAATCAGTTTTTGTGACTCCGGAATTTCACTCGAATGCTTAAAGTTAGCATTCAGTCTCCATATTTACAGCCCATTAAGTGGTCTGTCTTCAAAAAACACTCTCGTTCTGGTTGGAATCAGTGAGAGTGATTCTGAAAGTATAGGTCCTTTAAATGTGGCCTTTATAAATATGTATATATAATATATATTTGTATATACAGCTGCCTCCAGGCATTCAATTTTGGAAATGTTGACCTCAAAGTCTTGCAGACCAGTGGTAAAAATGAGTGAGTTGCTGGGCATTCAGTGCCAGTAGTATCCAGAGATTTATATGCAAGGAGCATACATGGGACTTTTCTAGCTAATGCTAGTTGTTGGAATGGTCAAATAGATGCTTTGATTAGTGACACTGTGTACCAAAAGGAAATAAAGTCAAATTCTTGGGTCTGCCTTCATGCCTGCAGTGGGGACTCTGAAAAAACATTGGACCAACTGGATATTGTTGGTCATTTCCTCCAGACAAATAGGTTAAAACATCTGTGAGTGGGGATTTTTTTCTCCCTTTTTAATTAAGGAGCTGATATCATAGCTGATTAGCACTGCAGCTACATTGCATTCAGGTTTTTGTGAACTGACAAAAAATACACCCAAACCGTATCTTTGGTGGTACTGTTGTCTGTCTACCATTGCACAGTGTTGTTCACTTGAAAATCCCAAGTACCAAGTCATGTAAGTAATTGTTTCCTCATTTTTCCACTAGGTGTATTTAGGACCATCCATGAAAATGCTGATAAATTAGAACAATCCTAATTTGTTTTTGCAGTCAACTCTGTGGTGTCCTGGATATGCTAGCAGGAAATAAATAAATAAATGGTTTTGTCAGCATCTCTCCCATGAAAATGTAGTCTTTATGCAGGTTCATGACTGCAAAGCAAGGAAGATATTTAAATGTTGTTTTACCCCTAGAAGAAAATATAAAAAATAAGCCTGGAGTGTCAGAAGTGATGTGCTCTGTGATTTGTCATGCAGGGGTTCCATCTTCCAGAATTCTTCCAGAATTTAAACTTTTAAGTTTCTAATTAGTCTTGAGTCCTAAAATGGAGGACTACTGGTCATCAAGACCCAGAAAGACAGTCTGTCTAATGCTTATGCAGAAATCCATGAATTAGAATTGAACTCCTGTGTTAGACCTGAAGTGCAGCCACCTAAGCATGCTTTTAAACTGAAGTCTGTAGTAACTCCACGAGGTATCCAGTGGTCTGGCTACTGAATAGAGGACTGTTAGATAATTTGAAAGTAATTTACTTGGTCTAAAAAGGTGATAGTTAGCATATACAGAGTAAAGCTGTTTGGAGAAGGCTTTTTTTACAACAAATACGATGGCTGGTGTTCTTTCCATCTATCCTGTGGTTTAGATATTATGCTCTTACATATATTGAATTTGCAAATGCAGTTTGGATATCCTGAAAATAAGAATTTTCTTCAGTCAGTGAGTCATTTAGATTATTGAACTGGGTCCTAATTATGCCTGGTAATAAAATAAGAAATGTACATAAAACGAAAAATACTGGACTAAATTATTATCTAAATATTTTATGCAGGGACTATATTATCTTCACAGTAAAGGAAAAATGCACAGAGATATAAAGGTAAGTAAAAACTCAAGGGGATTGTGGTGTTCTTAAAATACTCTGCATGACCTCTGATGGGTCTTTATTGTTGTGTATCGATTTGGGGGATATTTTTAAATACGCAGGGTTTTTTCTGTTAGAATTAAATAAAATTTTCTGCCTGAGGGAAGAAGAAAAATCTTTCTTTAAAATGCATGCATGGAAATAGTTTCTTGTTTTAATTGGACCCAAGCATACTATTTTTTAGCCTGGTGCTGTAATATTGGAGTTGACCAGTTGGAGTTGAGAACATGTGTTCAGATGACTGTAAGGGTATGTTCTGTGCAAAAGGAAAGGTTTGATCTTTCCCACACCTTTCCAAGAAGCTCAATGTACCCTTCACTTTGAACTGGCTAGTGAGTAGAACTGTTGCCTTGACATCTTGCTGCTTTTCTTGGTATGCAGATTGCAGGGCAGTGCCTGCTGTGCTGTGTGGTTCTTGTAGATGACTTCTGTCCCCACCCTCTCATGCTAAAATTAGAGAGGGTACCGTGAGTGACTTAACACTGACTTATTTTAACCTTCGTCTCAACAAAGCTGTGTCAAAGGTGGCTTGTTCAGATTCTTACCCTCTGTTCTAGTTTCCTTCTGGTGTTTCCTGTTGACTTTTTGTCCCTGGAGTTTTACTGCCTAATCTTTGCCTTTACAAGTTCTTCCTTGCTCAGATGGCAGCTTAAATTTTGCAGACTTCCTCCTGGAAATCTGATATTAAACTTATCATATTCCTTTGTGTTCTGTGAGGGAGTTGGTTTTGCTTGGTTGGTTTGGGTTGGGTTTTTTTTTTTCAGACTGTACATAGTAGCTTGAAGTGTAGATGCCTTAATGCAGCCGGATTCCAAGTTGTTCTCACTGACTGCAGAAGGGTATCAGGGTTTTGAGCAATTATAAAAAATTCTGAAAGAAAGATTGGACACAGAATTTAAACATTTTTCATAATACATTATAGAAAGCAAGATGGTGCTTGTAAGGATACAGTGTATAGATACTTGTTTCTAAACAGAATTGTGCTTATGTGGGGAAATTAAAAATAAATAACCTGTTTAATATAGTATCAGAAGAATCTGCATGTTTTAATTCAAATATGCTTACTTTTTTTTAAGGGAGCAAACATTCTTTTAACAGATAATGGACATGTAAAATTAGGTGAGTTAATACAATTCAGTGTTATCAACAGATTTTTATGTGCTCTAAGAAGCAGTCTTCAGCATTTTATATAATGATGTGATGGTTCTTGTAAGGAATTAGTGAATGTCAGAATTATTCTTCTCTTGCTGGTAATATCTAACTACATCATCTGGTTAGTGTCTGAGGAGTAATTGGGTTTTGGAACACTGAAGCAGAAGACTTTCTGATGTTATAAGAGGGAGGTAAAAATCAGGTCACAGGAGTTTTATACATTTTTAATAAAATATGATATCCAAAGTGCTTAACTGTGAAATGTATCTTGAAAGGCTACCTGAAGGAATCTCATGGATAATACTAAGTGATGTATTCTATCATATTAAAACACTGCCTGTAACTGTTAGGACTGTGCCAGCCTGTTCTTTCTTGTGTTGATGTTTGTGTGCAGTCTGCATATTTGACAGTCAACTGAGAAGAGCAGACCAGTATCTCTCTGTATCTCAGATAAATCAAGTTTCCATTGTTAGGTTTTGATGTTTTTGTGTTTTTTTGGCTAAATATTTTACAGTAGATTTAACAAACAGTGGGGAAACCCAGCTTGTGTTCATTAACAACTAGTTACATCAGCACAGTTATTAAGTGTTGTTCTGTTTTTACTTTTTTTTAATAGCTGATTTTGGAGTATCTGCCCAGATAACAGCTACAATTGCCAAAAGGAAATCGTTCATTGGCACCCCGTATTGGTAACTGTGTTTACTTGGCAATTACATACACAATAATGTTGGAGAATTGTTCTAAAAGCATGCTATGTCACTCTCTGGGTAGACTAACCACTAAAGGCTGTGTCAGACGTTCTAATAATCATATCTGTATTACTTAGGTTAAATCCTGTATAACCTGAGTAACAGAAAAAGTGATCAATGCTCTGAAAAATTAAAAGGCACTCTATGTGCTGCTATCACTGTTGACTAATGTATCTCCATTTAGTGAAACTTAAAAGCTACCAGCAATTTTGTTTGTTTTTAACTCTGATGCTAAATATTTTTTTCTTCTCTGATTTTCCATTTTGATGTTTTGTTTTTCCCCTCTACCCTAGACACATCTCTTCTGCAACTTTTCCGTTGATAATGAGTTTTGTGTGTTTTTCTCCACTGATTCTTTTGCTATTTGTGAAATGTTTCCTCTAAGCCATTTTACTTTTTTACTTATTTGCCTAAAATGATTGAATCTAAGCATACATTTCTTTTTTATCTGTACTGCATCTTTTTTCTCCCTTCAATAAACTAGTTTTCATAATTTATGTCTTCTAAAGTTCAGCATTTTCTCCTCTTTGTACAGGAGAGGTTGTTCCCTTTTGCCTTGAAGTAAATGAGACACATGCTTTACTGTAAAACAGAGCTTACATTTCCCAGAAAGATATTCAAAATCCTGTTGTCTGATGGCATAGGAGGTACACAATAAAAATTTGTATAATGAAAAAAACCCCAACTCAAGTATTCAGTCTTGAAATAGTCAAGCACAGCATTTTTAGCATTCTTCTGCAGAAAGGCATGGATTAACTTTGCCTTCAGAATAACACAAACACCCATCAATCATGATTGTGTAATTGATTTGTATCTCTCTTTCATAAGATGTCTGGGTGACTTTAGTCTGGACTGTATCACTTTGTACCTTCCAGATTGTGCCAGACCTCTCAAATGATGTTTCATAACCTTAAAGAATAACTTGGAAAGCACTGCATAGATTAAATGCTGATGAAAAGCACCAGTTTTTCTTTGCAGAGCTTCATGGAGTTTTGAAAGGAGAAGCCAAGAAGCAAAAGTATTGAAATAGTGACAAAAAATTTAGTCGAAACAGGCAGTGTGAAGGTTTTAGTGATCATTAGAGATGTCTGGCTATGGTATTTGGATGGGAGAGGAATGAAGAGCAAAACTGGGGCACAGTATGTTTAGTTCTAGTAACCCTGCTGTTTTACCCTTGTGCTCCTCGATGTCTTTCTAAAGGTAGCCTATGTTCCCCTGCTGCCTCAGTGACTCCCTCCTTTTTCATTTAGTGGTTAGGGGTTTTTATGAACTCTTGAAGAAATTTATGTTAATATAACTTAACTATGCAAACATGAATTAAGTTGCACCACCAAACTTGCTGATATTTTCAGATCTATGGATAAGGTTGTCTGCATTTAAATAATGCATCATTTGAGATGCTGCCTTGGAGCACTCATTAAGTGACATTCATCACTCTTACCTCTATTGAGTTAAATTTCCAGTTCTACTGCTACATTTCAAGTGATCTGGACTAATGAAGTTCAAAGCTAAAAAATATTTATCTTGGTATTTTTATTACTGTGTAGAACAATCAAATCCACAGTGCTCTTTGGCCTTTCAAAACATGTGACAATGCTTAGTGAATAGTTTTCTTTAGGTATTCATATTCAAGTATCAGTTATGTTTGTTAACTTTTGCCACCTGAGGATGTGAAACTCATTTGTTAACTTAAATGAGGTTTTCTGACATTACAGTGAGGCAGACTTCACGAGTAAGGAGTGCTCTGTGCAGGAGTCACAGTGAGTCTTCAGGGCTCATGCTTTCATGATACAAGAGAGCTGACGTTACTTGTTTTGTTATTGGAGTTCTCTACAAAGACCATTGATCACTTCCTGGGGCAGTGTTTCAAATTGGGTATTATTTGGGTTTTACCATAGTTGAAAAATTACTGCTTAGGCTCTTTGGTTGCAGAGTGGTAGTTTGGTGGTAGTTTGTTGTCTCCCTGCAAAAAACTCTGAGACAGATTGGTTTCATCCACTTGCTGCTAAACAGCTGTTTTGGAAACTGCCTATTAGTTAACAGAAGTCATTTGAGGAAAACTTTATGTATGCCTCATATAACTTTTTGCATGCACACACACACATATATATCCACATAGATAAATGTGGGTGCTGTGAGCTTATAGATTGAGAGCTTTAGGGAAAGGAGTACTAAAACTGCTCTGCACAGAAGAATGTTTGATTGGTGGTGGGAAGTTTAGCTGAAAATGTCTTTTATTCTTTAGGATGGCACCAGAAGTTGCTGCAGTAGAAAGAAAAGGTGGCTATAACCAACTCTGTGATCTGTGGGCAGTTGGAATAACTGCTATAGAGCTTGCTGAACTGCAGCCTCCAATGTTTGACCTACATCCAATGAGGTTAGTAAGGGGTTAAAACTCGGTGTGTAAATATGTCTTCGTAAATAATGCTTTGGAGTCCTGTCTCTGTGTGTGTGTGGTGTTTGAGGGTATTGCAAGGGTATTGAGTTGTAACTGTTCTGAATGTACATGTCAGAAGTTGTAACAACTCTTCTTAGTTCATAAATGTGTAATGTTGTCCTGGTAGCATCTCTTAAACTGATGGACTTCTTTCTGTTAACTAAGCAATGTATTTAGTCATTCATCTTATATATATATTGCAATGTAAACCACAGAAATACTGTTGATTTTTTTCAGAGCACTTTTTCTAATGACAAAAAGCAACTTTCAGCCTCCTAAATTAAAGGACAAAATGAAATGGTAAGTACTTCTTGGTCATAGTAGGTAATGATCATGTATTTCACTGGAAAATTTATTCTAATATTTACCACTTCATTTTACAGGTCCAACAGTTTCCATCATTTTGTTAAAATGGCACTTACAAAAAATCCTAAAAAAAGACCTACAGCTGAAAAGTTACTACAGGTGCGAATTTGTGTGGGGCATTTTTTTAAGTTATGAAATGAAAATAAGCTTAATTTGAGTGGTTGGAATTGTAATATATGTTTTGCTTTCTGTCTTTCAGCATCCATTTGTTACTCAGCCATTAAATCGAAGTCTTGCTATTGAACTTTTGGATAAAATGAATAATCCTGATCATTCCACTTACCATGATTTTGATGATGATGATCCTGAGGTAGGAGTATATTTTAATCATAGGATCAGATTAAATTTGCATTCACTGACAAAATTAAAGTGTTAGGATTTATTGAACAATGGAATGTTTTGTCATCTGGGAATAGTTTTGAGGGTTGCTTTCACTTTTGATTGTGCTGCTCTGTCCCATGTACAGGCACTTTAACAAAATTCATTATATTTGGAGGGGAGAAGTTCAAAGAAATAAACATTTAAACACTTCAAAAGCTTGTGGATTGTCCTTCAATGATTTTGCAACAGTACATAGGGACTACTTCTCTAGTCCTGAGTTTTGTCATGTGTTTTGCTTTCTGTTTCTTTGTGGAGTTTTTTCCATTAATCTGCAAAGAAAGCATTCATAAAAATCAATGCATGACTCTGAAGAACTATTTTTTTGTTCCTAATTTATTTTCTTATGAGAAAAGGAGAAGTATCCTGTAGTTTTTTTCAAATTATTTGCTGTGTTACTTGCAGACTGTATTTTCTATCTTAGAATACTCTGAAACATGGATTTCACTTAGAGTTTTGTCAAAGGCAAAGTTTCTGATTTTCTGTTTTAACAGCTGGGAAAAAGTAGCATGGTTATGTAAGATGATAACCAATACAGGTCTGAAGTGTGTATAACAAGTAAGAAAATAGATATTCTGTTACTACATCATGTCTTCATACTTAAATTATGTTAGTGAAGACTCTCCAAATGTTTATAGTTCTCTAACTAATTACTTCTTTTTGGGGAAAAAAATAATCCTGTCAACACAAATGCCATTGATTCATTACTTGCATATTTGTGTTTTGCTTTTGTAATGGATAAACTAGTCTAAAAATGCCTTCAAAGAAAAATAAGCTTAAAATAAGCAACTACTTTAAGATACTAATCTGTGCTAGGCATGATACTTCTCAGCACACTGCCTTGTGCTCTCCAGTGAACTTAAAGCACCTGTAGTGCTGAGTAGTTTTCATTGGATAAACAGCTTAAATGTCTCCTCTCATTTCTCCCCCAGTTATATTGCCAGATAATTTTCCATTGAGACATTTAATCCACCTGCAAAATGAGATTGATAATGACACTTGAGTACACGTTGTAGTCTGTAATAATCAAGTCTAGAACCCATGTCTGTGAATAAATACAATAATTCATTTTTTGGTGCCTCTTGAGCAAGGTCTGTTTTCAGATTTAAGAATCCTGCCACAGGCAAAGCAGTTGTTGGCATTGTGGCCTTTCCTATAATAAAGAGAAGGAAATAAGTGTACATGCTTCTTTTAAACTCGGTTGAACTTATTAAACAATACCCAAAGTAGCTGGAGATGTTAATCTGAGCTCAGGGATTAACCACTCCTATACTTGTGATAATCACCTGAATGCATCCATCAAAAATTGAAATAAGTGACATAACATGGTACAACATAATATGGTACAAACAACACTGGTGATAATCTTGAGCTTCAGACCTTCCCCATTTATTTGGAGTTTTGGTTGTTGGGGAAGTGGTGGTGTTTGTGTTTTGAGGTATTTTAGTTGTGTTTGGGGTTGTTGGGTTTTTTTTGGAGGCTAGAGAACTTGTCTGGCTATTGATGGTCTTTGAAGGAAAGTCTGTTGCCCACTGTGATGACAGCTCTTCACCTTGCCTCTTCTGCTCAAGTAGGGATGCTACCTGTTAACTGTTTTGATAGGCTACAGGGTTGTGGCAGTGAGGTAGAGATTAAGATGTGAATTTGCCACCTTTTTAGGAGTACCATGCTTAAAATAATTATAAACTCAGACAACGGTGAGATGTTTAATGTGTAAAAACAAAACTAAAACCATGCAATCAGGTTATTTGGGTATAATCAGACAGGTCTCCCCTTGATAGTAATATTCATTTGGCAGCAATATCTGTAACTGAAATTTTGAGTATTTTTCTCTACCACAACTCATGGAGGTCCTCATTTGCTTTCCCATTTAGATAAAGACAGGATTTCTGTCTGGGTCTCTGCTTTCATTCCATTAAGAATAAACCTTTGGAGATGTTGACAAAACTGTCTTGTTTTGCCACATTTCTCTGACAGTGATTCTCATGATAGATATGACATTAGCGGAAAAGGCTGCAAAGAGGAAAGTGCTCATGTTTTATCCTTAGCACGCTGTAAGTTTTGGGAATAAGATTGCTCTTAAGATCCCAAGTTGCTCTGGAGTTATGCCCAAATGGCATTTGTTTTGGGAAGTTAACCTACATTCCTTTGTCCTCTTGCACAGCTCAGATGTCAGCTTTTTGTACCATTTTGTTGTCAGCATAGGTCTTTCAAGGGTCTTTTGAGGACTTTGTCCTCATGACCAAGAGATAAGAATTTGACTCTTTCCAGTAATTCTGAGGTCATGGAGGAGGTGTGAGGGCAGGCTCTGTCTGCTGTGCATTAAACATCTGTGGCAGGATGCAGGGAACTCACACAATGGAAGTTCTCTAACTCTGTCATCACTTCTTAGTCAAAAGTTGCAAATGCAGATTATAATTAGCATATATAAAAGCAAAGCTAACATTCCAGCATGCGAAATTTCTGATCCTGTCGTGCCTATTACTTTAATTAAAATATCAACACAGGAACACAGTGAATGTGCACTTTTCAGAGATTACTCAGGCTAACATCATGGAGAATGAACTTCTTTTTTCTAACGAGTAAAATTTCATTGCCGAGGACATACTGGGAGCACACTGTTAGGTTTTGTGCTGCTGGTTTTGGGACTTGGTTGTGTACAGCAAAAAGCTGGTCTTGCAGTGTTATTAAGAAACCTTAAGATATAGTTTCTATTGGATATAGAGAAAATAAAGAAAATCCAACGAGGGCAATGAAATGAAAGCTGAGTCTTTATGTTCATGACACTTCATGCTGTAGAGAAGTAAATGGAAATCCCGGGAAAAGATAGAAGTGGAACATAACTCAGAAAGTGAAATTTTAGAAATTACGGCATCAGCACGAGCGTACCAGGAGTGCTCCCTTCTCTTCAGCGCTGAAAACCTCAGGCTAACTTCTACTTAAAGAAACTGAACTGAAGACATTTTAGGCTGGGGTATCTGCACAAAAGAAATGCTGCCAGTAAGTCAGATTCAGTCTTATTGCTTTAAAGTACTCTATGTTGAAGTTGAAGAAGATACTCTACAGATAAAGTGTCTCCAAGTAATTCTAACTAACATAGATACAATTTTTATTTTTAGCTTCTGCTTGATTTCTTTATTTTTTTTTACATTATCTAAAGAAACTTGCTAAAAACTAGGTACACAATACTGAGTTTCAAATGAGTGTATTTTGGTATTGAAGTATTCTGTATTTCTTTTCTAGCCTCTTGTAGTGCCACATAGAATTCATTCGACAAGTAGAAATGTGAGAGAAGAAAAGACACGCTCTGAAATAAACTGTAAGCATGTGTAATATGACAAATGGAATATTCTTAAAATAATCATTGGTATTCTCTTATTTCAACTGGTATTCAGGGTATCTGACATAGATAAATTTTTTGTGATACACAGGAAAAGAAAAACGCTATTTCACTTACAGATACAGGTTCTAGACAACTATGCAAAAGAAATATTTGTGTAAAATAATTGAATACACAATTTGTCAGCACTTCAGCAAATCTCACTGTTATTTCATCTCAATTGAACAGGATGCAGGCCAAGCTCTTCTGAGAGCTGATTGGTATAGCTTCCTATGTCACTCCAGCAGGGGTACTTGGAGTGATGCCAGATACTGCAGGGTAACAGAATGGCAGAGGAAGATTTTTCTTCCTTGACTTGGTATCTTGTTGTAGTTTTTGCTTTTGAATTCAATCAATCATTTAGAAATCAGAAAAGGAGGAGGTTGATCACTGGCCATTAAAAGCATTAAATTATATTAATTCTTTTGCTTGAATTACATCAGGGCAATACTGGAAGCTTTAGTTGTTTTTTGTTAAGCTAAAATTGAGGGCAAGTGTGTTGAAGATTATCTGCCATAGAGCTGTCCTAGAAGATGTGAGTAGCTCCCTCCAAGCTTCATTCAAAGCTATTTAGTGCTAGTGAATCTCCCAGAAGAACAGATTAAAGAGGGAATTTACACAATGGATGTGTTTTTTTTTTCTATAATTTATAGCTGTATTGCTCTTCTTAAGAGGGCATTTCACAGCCCTATCTGCTGAATTATTTTCTCAATCCTTCTAATGAGTAGGGGGGGCAAATGATTGTGCTGTCTTTGTAACAGAACAGTATTCTCTGTGCCCATTAGTTACTAGCAAGTGTGAGTTGGGTATGTGCATGTTATCAGAAGCTTCCATAGGTGGAGGTTCAATACACTTATTAAACTGGATTTTTCTTTTTTTTGTTAGCTTTTGAAGCTAAATTTTGTCTAACTACAGTCAAATTATTGTTTTCCTTTTCTCTTCTTTAGTTGGTCAAGTAAAATTTGATCCACCCTTGAGGAAAGAGACAGAGCCACATCATGAGTTTGTGAGTAACAAGCGGCTTGGGCCATGCCTTTCACATTATTATTCCCTGCAAATATCTATGGAGGAGGAGAAATCCAAAATGTGTAGCATACTTCCTTAGCACTAGGAAAATTGGTAGTGATGCAACACGTGTGTCCTGATTTTTTTTGTGCCATTACATGAAGTGCATCAAGACCCTTTGTTTTGGGGCTTAGCCAGGTGTGATGCATAAACAACAGCTGTTTTTCTTGTGGGTTTCCTCTATCCTTTATACCTCATTGCCAATCATTAATTCCCTTCATTTATAGAGTTATTTTTTTTTAATTGTGGAATTACTGTGTATATTCAGATGTTGCTCTCCTTTTTGCATGTATTGACAATGATTGATAATGGAAATAATAAAATTGAGAGCCTGGGAAAGAGACATGATACATTTTTTAAAAAATATTGTAGGGTTGTTATTTTCACACACTAACAATCATTCTGTGTCCCTGCATCACACCCAAGCCACGCTGAGTCTGATAGTTGATGTATTCTGTAAAACTGTGTTGCCAGTGTTTTCTTCCTGTGGACTCATCAATCAGTACAAGGGGTATGAGAATTCAAGCAGTGAGGGAGAAGGTGTCTCTGCTGTCTCACACACAATTGCAGTAGCTTTCTCCCTTTATGGAGACTGTTGCTTTCCACATTTGTGCCCTTGGGCAGTTTCTTTACATTCCTGAATAAATAAAAAAACCTAAAACGCTGCTTTTCTTCCTTACTGCAGAGTTCTGTGTTCTCTTGGGTTTTTTTCCAAGACAGGTGTTAAGGTGAAAATTTTGGCCTAGTACATAGGTTGGAGGGACATTGGCTTTAATTGGTATTCAGAGTCTGTAGAGATTTGGTGCTTCAGGACATGCTCCAGTGGCCAAAGTTGTGGAGGGGGTTTTTTTTGTGTTGATGGTTGGACTTGGTGATCTTTGAGGTCCTTTCCAACCATGAGGATTCTGTGATTATCTCATTCTGCGATTCCTCTTTTATAGTCCACAAACCACATGTAAGTGGGATTTCTGATTCCTTGGATTGCTCTGTAGTTGTACTAAAATGTCCTTCATGGTGTCTTGTCCGTTGGTAGTGGGTCAGCTGTCTCTGGTGTTTGAGGTTCTCCAGCAACTGACTGGACAGGTAGTCTTCAGTTTCTGGTTCCTCTTAAAGATGGAGGATACAAGCTTACCAAATCACACGTTGGACTTGGGCAATTGGTGAGGCCACATCTGGAGTATTGTGTCCAGTTCTGGGCCCCTCAGTTCAAAAAGGACAGGGAACTGCTCGAAAGGGTCCAGCGCAGAGCTACGAAGATGATTAAGGGAGTGGAACATCTCCCTTATGAGGAAAGGCTGAGGGAGCTGGGTCTCTTTAGCTTGGAGAAAAGGAGACTGAGGGGCGACCTCATCAATGTTTACAAATATGTAAGGGGTGAGTGTCAGGGGGACGGAGTTAGGCTTTTCTCAGTGATGACCAGTGATAGGACAAGGGGTAATGGGTGTAAATTGGAGCATAGGAGGTTCAAGGTGAATATCCGAAAAAATTTTTTTACTGTGAGAGTGACAGAGCACTGGAACAGACTGCCCAGGGAGGTTGTGGAGTCTCCCTCGCTGGAGACATTCAAAACCCACCTGGATGAGTTCCTGTGTGATGTACTCTAGGTGACCCTGCTCTGGCAGGGGGGTTGGACTAGATGATCTCTCGAGGTCCCTTCCAGCCCCTAAGATTCTATGATTCTATGATTCTATGATAATTATTTCAAATATGTTATTTAAACCTTCACATAAATGCGTAGTGATGTAATTTAGGAGCCGTGGTTATTATTACATATGGTAATGAGGTCGGTGCTTCTTCCATAAACTCATCAGTTAACTCAAAATTGTTTTTGAACTGATTCCAAGTTATCCTGACTTTGCTTCCCTGTTGCACTGTCTGGATTATAAAGAAAATACAACTGGCAACATTACATAGTTTAAATTATAATGCTTTTGCTCCTTAAGAATTGTATTTACTTACACCTACACAATCATAATTGCAAAAAGTTGTTCATGGAGAAGCTGAAGTTTTGAAAATACTTTTTGATTTTTTTCTTTTTTTGTCAGTCACAGACTGTACAAACCACTTAGTGGACAGGTTCATGGGGCAGAAAGGTGTTTTAGTTGCACCTTAGGAGCCTGAGTTGCTGAACTAGGGAAGGAGATTTTCTGCAGGGATTGAAGTACAACTTTGGAGGCCACTTCTTTGTCAGGTGTGGGAAGGGTGGAATCAGCCTTTTCTACATTCTGTGCTAGTTATCAGGACCTTTGCACTTTGAAATCTCAGAAGCTCTTGCTGCTCCAAGAAGGGACTTGAATGATCCAGATAAATTGTGCTGATAAGGAAATGTCTTTGTATTGTCTATTCCTGTCAGAATTTGCATACTTGAAACTGTCCAAAGAACTTGACTTATTTCACTGTCTGTAAGGGGGACCTGCAGCAGATCTTTCTGAAGAGGGCAGTTAACTACTCCACTGACCATATCAGAATGAAGCATCCAACCTCATCTGCCCTTTGTAGATAAAATAGAACTATGATTTTGAAAACTATTGTGTTGGGTCTAGAGACCAAAGAAAAACCATGTTTTGTTGTTAGATATAGAGCCAACAGACAACTTAAATTGGCATGTCAAATGCAAACAAGATACATTAAAAAGGATGCTCTAGCAAAGAGCCTTCGCATAAAGCAGGCTGAGGGAAGTTTGTAAGAATCCTTACACTGAGATGCCTGATTCTTCCTCCAGCAATGATAGTGCTTTTCATTAAAGCTGTTCTTCTGACTCTTTTGCTTCTGTCTTACAAAAGCATGTTTAAACTTTATGCTTACTTATGGATATGAGTGCACAAGCCAAAGTACTGGGCCACTGCAGCATGATGGTACATACTTGCCTCTTACTGAGGCAGTTTGTTGCTCATTGCCACAGCTCAAGTGATGAACAATAATTCATTAATTAGTGTATTTGGTAACGTTTGGTAATGTGACCATACCCTTGGCTGTGTTTTACTCATATCCCCAGAACTGTCTTAACATGGTTTGAGTTTCACCTGGCAGCCTTTGTTTTAGCAAGAAAATTTACCTTTATGTATACCTTGGCTTTCACTCACAATGTAAATAACTGTAATTTCTTGATCTCTGTCTAATGAACAGCCTGACAGTAGTGATTTTTTGGACTATTCAGAAGAAGTATACTACACTGCAAGATCTAACCTGGTATTTTTCATCTTATGCCTTTCTTTGTCAGTGTTAGTTTCGTCTTTGTGTTTTAAAGCTTGTATTTTGTCCTGTTGTACTCGTGTTTTGAGCTGTGTAATCATCATTCAATATAAGAATTAGTTTCTATGTGTATTTCTGTAATGCATGAAGAAATTCCTAGTATGTACAGTATTGAAAGTATTTAACCTCTGTTAATATTTAGTTGAAAGACTTATAGAAGGGGCTCGGTGTTATATACTCATTCTAATTTCTTTATTTAACTGCCTTACTATGCATTGCTTGGTAATTTTTTGAAGGTGATTAAAAATAGAAGAGACATTCTCTTATTTTATTCTGGAAGTTCCTTAAAGTAGTCTCATGAAAGACTATAAAATTATATAAGTGTAAGTCTTTGCATTCTCCAGACAGAATTAATGTTACAGAATGAATATACACTTAATACAAATAACAGGAAGTGGGGTCTTAAGTGTTTTCAGTGGTATTTGGTCTTGTTTATAGTCTGATATATTTTCCATATTTTCTCTTACTCTGTTGAAAAATTTGGTTCTTAGCATTGCAGTGTAGAAATTGCCTTAGAAAGTGAGTTTCCTCATTTCTCTACTCTTTAGGCACTATGTAGTTATAAAAGTAATGCTTTTAAGTCTTGGACATCTTCATATACTGTTGAAAAAGGGAAGAAAAAATTAAGAGCATTATTCTGCTAGTTTTCTTTGATTTGTGAGATGTTTACTATAAGTGCACTGGGGGAACATGGAAAGTGGGGTGTTTTGAAATGTTTTGCATTGTGGTTTTTTTGTGATTTTTTAGTTTGGTATTTTTTTGTTTGTTTTGGCTACAGTTGCCTTGGTGTGACTTGAATCTGCCAGTATCATAGTCACTGAAAGCTTAGACTGTCTTCCCCATTCTTTGAAGGAACTTCCTGTATAGCTTGATTATAAAAAATGTTTCACTAATTGTTTTGATATCAGTATCTTATATTTCTCTGTATGCAGTGGGACCACCTCCATCCTGTGCAATTGTTTCAGTTTGCTTTTTGGTTTTCTTTTCAGTTTAACATATTTTCAAATCTTTTTCGAGTTACTTTCAGTGTTGTCACGTATCTTACTAGGGTGTAAGAGATGAATGAGAACATCTGTCCTTTCCCATCCTGTTTTGCCCCATGTTGTTCAGTACACTTTTAAAAAAATTACTACTATGATAAAGTGTTAAACTACCTCTGTTGCTGCAATCATGAGAGGGTTTTTTAGGTCAGTTGACAGCACTTTCTGTCTTTGGCTACTTTATTCACAGCCTTCTATGCTCATTGTGAATCAAATAGAAGAATTGTAATTTGGTGGTAATGCTTCACCCATTCGTGAGATTCTTCCAGTAAGACCTAATCCTTCTGGAAACTAGAAGAAATAATTAGTAGATGATTCATTCTGCTGTTGTGGACCAGGACACACTAATCAGACTTCCTATTTCTCTCCTTCCCCCACTTCCCTCTCCTGCTTTGACAGTATGGCCTTCAGACATACTCCCTGAAAAGTGAATTTTTCAAAACATCAGCAGGAGGAAAAGATTATACTTTTCCACAAGTGCTGCTGTTGGGCTCTTTCCTGTCCTGTTCTGCTGGTTTTATAAAAATACCTTATGAGCAACAACTCTTATCAAGAAATATGTCTCTTAAATCAAACAAAAATTAACAAAAATTTAAATATAATAATTTTAAAAAGTCAGAAATTGAGGCGTATTTTGGGCAGTATGAGGCATAAAAGGTGTACAGGCAAAGTTGAAATTTGGGGAGTGACTGAAGAGTGTTTTTACCTATCACCTAACATGTAGCACAGCTGAATGTAGCAGCTTATGCAGTCGCCATGCATGCACCTTTTAAAAATTTGCCTCCTATGATGTGGTTGCCCTCAGAAATAATTCCTTTGCTTTTCCTCTTCCCCCTCCCTTTGCCTCTGTGCTCCTGAAATAGCTACAGCTCCTGGAATAGCTACAGAATGCAGAAATTAAGTATAGGTCTTGTTTGTAGAGAATATTCAATGTCTAAACCCCAGTATCCCATCATGCAAATGGCAAACAGACAAGGACAAGATAATGCTACTCTTTGATCTTCTACAAATATACCCCTTTGATTTGGGTCCAAATAAATAACAGAATATTTTGTTGTAGGTACAAGGGATTTACTTTTTCAGAATAGGTTTCTTTTACTTTTTCTATAATTGGACAGCAAGTTCCTCAATAACTTAGTTGTGTACCTTCCACAGTTTGAGATCTTCTTGCACATACTCCTTCCTGTCATTGCAAGTTCCTCATGTTCCTGTTCTGGTTTTTGTGCTGTTTTGGCAGCTGTTTTCTGACAATGTCCTTTGTGTTTGGAGCAGCAGGGGTGTGCTGAACTCTTTATAAAAAAAAAAAAAAAAGTAAAAAAAGAAGTCTTATATTACATGCACATTATACTTTATACAGGTGAGATCTCAAATACTTCTCCCATATTTTTCATTGTCTTTCTGTGTACTTAAAAAGCAGTTGTTCGGATACAGAATCATAAGTGGGAGAGCTGAGCATTGTGTTTGCAGTGATCTCAGTCAATAGTTTAAACAAAAGTTATCTTCTCTAAAAATATGTACACTGTTGTTCTAGAACAACAATTTTTAAGTTTTATGCTGTTGGTTCTTGGAGAAGCACCTGAAAATCCAATGACTAACTATGTGTGTGACTTCACGTTGTAATGCTGCGCCCACCACATTGACAGTCTTGGGAATCTACATGAGTTAGCATAGGAGGACCAGAATTCTGTCAATTGAAATGTGTTTGCTGGAAGTAAGCATATGGTCAGAAGCAGTCTCAAGTAGATGACATCCTGATAAAAATGTGCATCTTCTTTTGGGTTATTTTTTCCACCAGATCAGTTTCCCATTCGGATTCCTGTGTGGCATTGCAAATGAATGTGTCAGTTTGGTGGAGGGAGGTGTGTGGGCTGGAAAGAGGCCAGGAGAAAGGGCTATTAAACCCACCTTAAGCAGAGCTGTTGCTGTACATGTAACTGCATACACACAGTTGGCTGTGTTAAACCCTGTGAGGTTTTGGTGCCTACTCCTCCAGCTTGTTGAATTTCCTTTGACTAGCAGCCCACTCTTTTTTTGTTAGATGCTAGAAAGTAGTTTAATTACAGTGTTGGCCAGCTACCTCAGCACCTTAGATGCATTCCACCTGGTCCTAGTCTGCATCATACTAACTGATTTGTAGCACTATAGCTAGTGATTGTTTTTTTCTTTGCATTGGGGAAAAAATTAAATGTTCCTGCTCTGGACTTTATTTAATTTAATGGAGTTAAATCCAGCTGGCAGCTGGTCACGAGTGGTGTTCCCCAGGGCTCAGTGCTGGGGCTGCTCCTGTTTCACACCTTTATTGATGATCTGGATGCGGGGATCGAGTGCACCCTCAGTGAGTTTACAGGTGACACTAAGTTGGGTGGGAGTGTCCATCTGCTTGAGGACAGAGAAGCTCTGCAGAGGGATCTGGACAGGCTGGATTGATGGGCCAACGCCAGTGGTATGAGTTTCAATAAGGGCAAATGTTGGGTCCTGCACTTTGGCCACAACAACCCCTGGAAGCATTACAGGCTTGGGGAGGAGTGGCTGGAGCTGCCCAGCAGAGAGGGGACCTGGGGGTGCTTGTTGGCAGCTGGATGAACATGAGCCAGCAGTGTGCCCAGGTGGCCAAGAAGGCCAACAGCATCCTGGCCTGCGTCAGGAATAGTGTGGCCAGCAGGACCAGGGAGGTGATCCTGCCCCTCTATTTGTCCTTGGTGAGGCTGCACCTCGAGCACTGTGTGCAGTTCTGGGCACTGTAGGATAGGAAGGACATGGAGGGAAGGGCAGCTGGGCTGATTAGGGGTCTGGAGAACAGGTCGTATGAGGAGAGGCTGAGGGAGCTGGGGCTGTTCAGCCTGGAGAAGAGGAGGCTGAGGGGAGACCTCATTGCTCTCTAACACTACCTGAGAGGAGGTTGTGGTGAGGTGGGTGTTGGCCTCTTGTCCCTAGTGACTAGTGACAGGACAAGAGGAAATGGGTCAGGGTGTGTCAGGGGAGGTTCAGGTTGGATATTAGGAAATATTGCTTCATAGGAAGAGTGGTGAGGCATTGGAACAGGGAGGTGGTGGAGATACCATCCCTGGAGGTGTTTCCTGTAGCCCCTTCCAGTACTGGAGGGCTGCTATGAGGTCTATAAGGTGGCTATAAGGTTTCCCTGGAGCCTTCCCTTCTCCAGACTGAACAGCCCCAACTCTCTCAGCTTGTTAGGGCTCCAGCCTTCTGATCATCTTTGTAGCCCTCCTCTGGGCTCACTCCAAGACTTCCATGCCCTCCTTATGTTGGAGGCTCCAGAACTGGACATGGCAGTGCAGATGGGGTCTTAGGAGAGTGAGTAGAGGGAGAAAATCACCTCCCTTGACCTGCTGGCCACACTTCTTTTGATGCAGGCCAGGACACAGCCTTCTGGGCTGTAAGCACAAGCTTCATCCACCATTACCCCCTGGTTCTTCTTTGGACTGTTTTCAATCCATTCTCCACCCAGTCTGTATTTATGCATGGGATTGCCCCAACCCAGGTGCAGGACCTTGCACTCAGCCTGGTTGAACTTCATGCAGTTTGCACAAGCCCACCTCTCTAGCCTGTCAAGGTCCCTCTGGATGGCCTCCCTCCCTTCCAGCAGGTTGACCTCACCACACACTTTGGTGTCATCAGCAAACTTGCTGAGGGTGCAGTCAGTGCCACTGTCCATGTTCCTGACAAAGATATTAAACAACACAGGTCCCAGTGCTGACCCTTGTGGAACACCAGTCGTCTCTGGTCTCCATTTGGACATCAAGCTGTTGATCACAACTCTTTTGAGTGTGGCCGTCCAGCCAGTTCCTTACCCTATGAGTGATTCATCCACTGAGCCAGAACAGCTCAGCCCTGCAGCAGAAATCAGGAATGTATGACTACCAAAGTTGCAGCAACAAGTAAATAATCATTAGATTCTGTAGAAAATAAATAGCAGTTTTAAAAAATTTAACTCCAGAAGGTATTATAGATTTGGTCATTCCTGGGGAATTTGTTTCATAGTATGGCCTTACCACCTAATTTGCCTTTGCTTTGAGGAAGTCTTTATGCTTTTTTTAGTCATTGATTAATTTTCACGTGGTTTATCTAAAGGTGTGATTTGCCTTTTTATGTGACTTTTTCATTTAGTGTTACCCAGACTGTTGAGATGAACTGGTAATGACTCCTTTTTTTCCAAAGTGATTATTGCCAGCAGATAACATTCTGTCTTCTACACAGTTATGTTGGTTCAGGAATGGGTTGTTGGTAATCTGAGACCAAATGCAGAATCATCTGGGATTGCATCTTTGATTTAACACCAAGGTTATTGACCTCATCAAGATTCTCTTGCAAAATATCTGTCTCGTCACTCAGATTGATTCCAAGTGAATGTTATCTGATCTAAAAATAATTTTAATTAACTGATCAGCATAGTATGTGTGCTAAATGGCAATATTAATGTAGATTCATAAAGCTGTTGGGTTACTTTAGGGATGCAGGAAGGATAACAGCTTTTGATAAGCCAATTGTTGCATCATTTAGTAATTAATGCTAATCTGTTCTTCCCAGGGGAAACTATAACTGCTGAGATTTTTGTTTTGTTGAAAAGTACCTTTGTTTGGCTTTAAAAAAAATCTAGTTATATTGGTTGCTCTGATAAAGTATAACAGTTCACTGGAGGCTTTTCAGGCTACATGAAGTATTTATCCATTGTTTTTGTACAAATATGTAGCTACAAGATTTATAAAATTGTGACTTCTGGATGTATTTGAAATAGAGGGTGTGAGAAAAACGTGTTGCACTTTTTAAGCTCTCTAGGTCTCAGTATTTATCTCTCAAGATAGAAATTTTCCCTAGCAATGGATTACTTCACTTTCACTGGAGTGAAAACCAGCAATATTTAAAGGGCTTAGAAGGACACTAACAAGCTAGTTAAGACAAAACATATACATACCCAGCTAGAATTGTAGTCAAATAAATGCTAATAAGCAGCACAATAGAAAACTGAACAAAACTAAAGCTTTTGTCCTTTTAAAGCATTTAAACATAAGTAATTCTAGCAGATGTCATTTTTCATAAAGGAAGTTCCAGTAAGGCTTAAGAAGTCTGGTGACAGATGAAGGCTCCTTCTTTTTAGGAGGCTTTGCTTATTGCACTTACTAATTTTCCTGTCATTGCTGTATGATATATATATATAGCCATACATTGCAAAGTGTGTAAATTAAAATTAAAAGATATTTTGGCTCTGCCCAGCATAAGATCTTTGCTTCCCACTTTTGATTAATGTGATTTTGGAACATGTAGGTAAAACATCTTCTCACTTCAAGGTGGAAATCTCAGATTTCATTATCCTATTCACAAGTTATTTTTTTCAAGAGCCTCCCAGTCTTTGTTCTGGCATCCTCTTAATAAGGATATTCTTAGACTCACACAACCTGTTTAACCTCCTTGTTAAGTCTGGTGACAACTTCTGTTTCCAGTCTTGTTATTTTCTGCCCTAGAGCCTGAATCCTCAAAATACCTGCTTGCATGAGGACATTTTTGAGATTGCATAGAAGTAAAATAAGCAGTCACAATAAAGAAAGTTAAATCTTTGTTTCTTTGTGGTGAGTTGGAGTATGTCAGCTGGTGATGAGGACCAGTAGAAAGGAGTTCCTGGATAAGGTGATAGATATTAGGAGTGATGAAAAAAATTACATTGCAGAGAGCCTAGGATAGTCTTTCTTGAGTGAAGGAGACTTGCTGAGCTTGTTTTAAGCAAGGAGTAGGAGTCGAGACTGGGGCATAGGAGAAGGATGAAACTGTGAAAAAGAAGATAAGGATAATAGAAGGGATCAAAGATACCCACAGCTGAGGCCTGACCCCTTCCACCTGCTGCTTCTCAGAGCCCAGGACATGCTCCTGGAGAGGAGTGAGCCTTCCTTCCTTGCCAGCATGGACACTTGTGAGCTCTTCTTATCTGTTGCCTAACTTTTGAGATTCTCTGACCCCTGTCTAGGGGGCAAGCTGGATGGCCCTTGTAGCCAGATACACAGAAGTGGATGGGGTTTGCAGGTTTCTTCATTTAAATCTGCATAAAACATGTCACAAAGTTGGTATGAGGATTAAAAAATCTGTTTCTCCGTGGTTTACAAAATGCCAGTGTCAGGCTTGCCTTTGCAAGTTTCATTCAACCCTCTGATCTGTTCATTATTTTACATCAAGTAATTATCAGTTATGTACTGTTTTTTCCACAATATCTCACTTGTCTTAGGAAAATATGGGAAGTCACTGAAGCAATCAAGTGCTACTGACAGCTATGGTAGAAATACCCATGTGGAAACTACTACTTAGCTTTACAGAGCAGAAATGAGGATATAGTAAACAACCTGAAGCTCCTTGTGGAACAGAAAAAAATATACACAGCTTTGTATTAAAATGATTGCAGTTTGGTCTGGAACTGAGAACTTAGGCTTCATCAGCTTGGAGCATGGGTGAATCTTGTGTGAGGCTTTCCCTCTGATTTTTCAAAATGCCCTTTTTAGAGATCAACCCCATGAGTTGTGATCACCTAATCCAAACTTATCACTCTTTTTACTTGGATGTCTGGGCATCTTTGTGAAGGATGGCATGATTTTGATATGGGCTGCAGCTGAAACAGGCCTGCTTAACAGAAAATAGTGGGAGACATATTTTCTTGAAATGAGCAGTATAGCTCCATTTATCACTAACTTGGGTGATCAGTAACTCATTTCTCCTGGTGAATACACTCAATATTTTGGCAGCAAATTTATGCTCGGACTTTGCCTGTTGTGACCCAGCTAAAGAAAAAAACTCCTTGTAATTATAACAGTATAGTTTTGTCAGATGCAGATTTGATGATAGTTCAGTATGGTTCCTGTATTTCCATTAATGCATTCCATTTGAATGCTATATGGCATCTATTGAGTAATGGTGGAGGCCTATTGCCACACTTTTTTTCTAAGTAGCCCATGCTCCATGATTGCTTGACTGCTTGAATTTGCTGCTAATACTGGTTTTTCATTTTTGATACAAAAGGTGATCTTAAAGTGTGCCTGAGAACAGATATAGTTATCCTTAGAATACATATTTCTATAACCAGCACTATCAAAGCACTTTGATTATTTCTTGAATGTCCTCTTGTGCTAAAGGCATTTCAGGCTCCCTGCCAGAATTACTGCCCATCTGAAATTAATATGATAATGTGCAAGTGAGAGCCTGTTGGGTTCTCTGTGGGTCTGGTAGACCTCAAAGTCCCATTCCCTCCCATTGTTTGTTTTTTTTTTCTGGTGGTGGTTGTTTTGTTTCCTTTTCTGTAGCCAACTTTATTTGAGCAGAAGATGTGTTTGTCCAAGGAAGGAGGGTCTAAGATCAGCATTTTAGAAGGAATGAAGAGATGCAGCAAAGTGGCAGAGAGGAGATTTTTGGGTGCAGTGGGCCTGAGGGTAGTGTTAGGGGCCAGGAAGGCCAGAGGAATGACCTCATTTGGTAGCTTATGTGTGACAGAGGGGGGTAACAGCAGCATGACACTGAGTATGTGTTTGATGCTTACCTGTTCATCCTAAAGATTTGTTCTCTTATATTTGTAGGATCTACAGCTGGAATATGGTCATGGTCCTCAGTGTGGCTACTTCTTGGGTGCAAATAAGTGAGTAAGCAACAGCAGTTTTTGTCTTTAGTTAATTCAAGACCGTTTTAATTAGAAAAACCAGAAATGTGTGTTAAGCACATTAGCTGAAATGAATGTAGTAAAATGTCAACTTTGTTTATGTAATTTACAATTCCAAAATCACTATTTATTTCTAAAATAATAGCAATTACAGTGGTATACAAATACAGCACTTTTCAGTATTTGAGGCTGTAGTGATCATACTGACTCTATGATGCTGAAAACTTCCTTCTAAAAGCCATTACCTTGGTCTGCTTGTTAACAAAATATTCTGCCTCATAAGTCCCACACAGCACAATTTTACCCCATCTAGGAGCCACCAGTGCTGCTCTTAGACATTACTTTATGGTCTTCTTCACATTGTAGGGCCCTAGGAACATTCAGTTGTAGTTTTTATTTTTTTTACTAAAACTTACCTGTCTCAGCAAAGTCACTTATCTTCATAATCATACATTTAATAATTTTGTGGTATTAATAATATTAAATAGTTTTCCATGTAATTCTTCCTTTCCACCCAGTTTCTTAACTTATATTTATACATCGGAATTGGGATGCCTACCTTTCCTTTTCTAAATTACATCATATTTAAAGAAATGCAGAAAATCTAAGCATGCAACATGATATTTTTCTGCAATCTTTTAGTTGGACAAAACAGGAATACTGATATCTTCCAAAATCCTGTTGTTTCTCATCCCTGTGTTTTGCCTGCTATTCCTCTCTGGCTGTGTTTTCAGACAAAGACACAAAAACTATGAAGTTTGGAATGTTACAAAGAATTATGTAGGGAAGAAGACATTTATTCCAATAGTAGTTTAATCCTCTTGTCAGTCTGATTTCTTGGATAGTGTATATTTGTTTTAAATTGGATCAAACCAAGCCAGTCCTTGTTTTACAGTACAAGGAACAAGGACCACTGCACTTAATAGGTATACATTAATAAACACATGTGAAAGTGTGTTGTGTAAAAAATAAGAAATAATTTTTAAATGCAGCCATGTTTGTTTGTATGTGGATGTTTCTGTGTTCTGAAAGCCAGCTGAAATAACATGCTTTGGATTATTTACTGATAGAATCATAGGAGCATTTACCCTGGCTTTTGACAATTAAGTCTGTGTGCCACAACTAAACTGTTCTTATTCTTATTTAATGCTGAAGGAGTCTCTTAAAATCAGTTGAAGAAGAACTGCATCAGCGGTAATTCTATTCTTTATTTTTTTCCCCCTCTTAAGTGTTTCAGAGTAATTTGTGCATTGATTCCTTATGTCTGTCTCAACTAGTTCTTGTTTATCCCTGTACTTGCTGAGACGATATGTGAGAAGCGTAGTTGTCTGGGTAGTATCTGTGCTTTGCAGAGTAAATAGTAATAGTAATGATAAAAAGCTAAAAGTCAGTAAAATTTTGTAAAGAGACAGTAGCCCTTAAGCTCAGAATTTTTCACAGTAGCCAAGGTCATTTTAATAAAGCCCACTCAGCCATAGTACCTTGTTCATTTCCTTAGGGGACATGTGGCACATTTAGAAGATGATGATGATGCAGATGAAGATGCAAAACAGTAAGTCCTTTCTTCTTGTAAAAATAAATACATACATATAAAAGCTTATTCATGAATAGATTAAAATAAAAAATAAATTGAATCATGTTCTGTCTCTTAATAGTTCAGGATTCTTTTTGTTCTATAGCATTTTTAAAGATAGGCACTTAATGGTATTCCTAGATTACATGACCAGAAATTTTCTTAATATTCTGATAAACTTATGATAAATTAGCAGTAAAAAATCTTGTTTGTCTCTTGATACAGTTGTGTTTTTATCTTCTGTTACTGAACAAAACCTTGGCATTAGTCATGTTGAGCCAGTATTTCATCTAACTCTGCTCCTAGTGTCTTCTTTAGAATTGATGACTGTATATTAAAATAAAGCTGATTAAAAATACATAGAATATGTACATCACCTTCTTCTCTAGATAATTGAGTTTGCTTTGTCCACATTCTCAGCTAGGAGAACACCCATATCTTGTATAAGTGTTGCATTTAGGAATAGAGCTGGCTTCCTTACCAAAGAGAGAGCAAGGTTATGTGACCAAAAAGGCAGTATCAACAGGCATATCTTAAATGAATTATGTTCATGTTAAATTTCACTGGTATAAGTATTCTTGGACTTTTTTTGACTGACAGATGAGAGCTGAAAAAGTTTAACATGCACAGCCAGTATGTGAGAGTTTACATTCCTAAATAAATCTGATAGAAAAGCCAAAAAGAAAGATGCCATTGGGACAGAATTTTTGTTTACTTTCTGTTAATGGATAATTTTGAAAGCTGTTGCATCATACCAGAAGCCTGTAAAACGTGTTATCTGTTGCTGGCGTCTGCCTCTTGCAGAGAACCAAATATCTCTCTCTTATTCATTTTTTTTCCCTGAGTTATTCTGCTGCTGTTCTTTTGTAACAAAGGCAGTGGTGCAGTGGTTTTTATCACTGTACTGAAGATGTGAGACAGGTGCCATTAGCATGGATAAAGCCACTGATAGTGTGTGATGTCAGCTACGTGACAAGTATATTAAACTTGCGTTGTTTATTAATCAACTTCTTAAAATGCAAGTATGTTTGTGCTGTTGGACACAAGTGATGCTTACAAAAGAAAAATATTTTTGGTCAGTTTTTTAGCAGGCTTTATTCCTCTGCTAATTCCTTATGAAATTCTTCATATTTCATTATTAGGCTATTGTTAGAAGGCGTGATTGATTATGTAGTTCATCAATAATATGAAGCTCCCATGTCATGTCTTTGAGGGGAAGAGCTTCATAATGCTACTCATTGGTTCACTCCCCTGCATTTGGACCAAGCTGAGAACCTGCTTTGCTCATAGCTGGGTAGACATAGGTAATGACAACTCAGGCCTCCTGCAGTGTAGGAAGTAAAGTTCCCCTATAGCTCCTTAGTGCCAGCTCCACTCTTGACAGGCATCAGTGGAGATGTTCTGGATATCTGTACTGCAAGCCAGCTCAGCATGTGTCCTCCATCTGTACTAATCTCTGAATGTTTTTTGTGTACAGCTCTGTCTGTCCATTTTTGCTTGATGATTCTTTTTCCACCCTGCACTTCTTGGTCTGTAAACAAGAAAAGAAGATAACTTACTGCTTGGATATTTTCCCAAAACCTTGGAACATAATATAAAAATAAGGAAAATATTGTGCAAGAATGGCAAGTTTTCACAGCTGCATTCTTTATTTAATGGAAATAATTTTCTATTCCAAAAGATTAGGAAACAGGATAATATAAGAGCTTTTACAAACATAAAAATTTTAGGAATTCAAGATTTTTTTTAAAATGCAACTTATTCTTTAAAACACATAGCCAGCAAAGGAAGAATGCTCCTGATGCTTCAGCTTTCCTGTTTCCTGCTATCTTGTACTGTTCAGCCAAACTGTTTAACACAAGAACAATTCAAAAGTTGTCTTTTCCAAGATTTCTGTGAAAAGAAACTCATGGAAAAAACAAAACCAAAACCAACAACCTAACAGTAGGGTAGCTGTCCATTGCAGGTGTATTTTGCTTTCATGTGTAAGGCTGTTCTGAAGAAAGCAGTGGTAAATTTTTCAAGGAAACTTTTTCAGAATTTTTCCTGTAACCCCCTTTTGCCTTGTATACCTATAGATGGCCTTTTAGAAAAGCTCACTGATAGCCTAAATCTCTCTCCTCTCAACAGAGTAAATATCAGGCCTGCTCTACATCACCTTACTTTTTTCTGCACCAGTATGTGCATCTTCAACAAATCAGTCTGTGTCACTTTCTGCTCTTTAAGGAGGATCTGTGATACTTAAGTTTGCAGATAGTATCTCTAGTATGCACAGCTATAACAACATGTTTGAAAGTATTTGTGATGCAGTTATTTAGATATAATTGTGCTGTTGGCAAGTTAATGATGTTTATTTGTATGGCATTTATAAAATCCTGTATCTTCTTGAACGTTGCAATATAGGAGGTTCACAGAGCTACAGTGCATTAGCAATCTGTTTTGTTTCTTTTCTTTATAGTGCTACTATGAAACCTAAAGTGCCACCTCCATTACCACCAAAGGTAAGGGAGGGGATTTCTGTTTCCCAGAATAAAAAGGCAATTTAAATAAGTAAACACATGCAGAAGTGTCTAAGTGACTATACTGGTGGTTCTCTCACTTGAGCCGTGACTTGAAGACCTGAATTAATTTTTAAGTCAAGGATCTATCCAAGGATTCCACTTATACATTCATATCCTTTAATTGCAAATCTGCATTGGGACTTGCAATATAGAATATTCGTCAGTGTGAAAGTGCTGTTTCAGACTAATTGCACTTCTGATCATAGAACAGAATGATCGAGTTGTTTTGGTTGGAAAAGTTTTTTAAAATCAGCAAGTGCAGCAATTAACTGCCACCCACTGCCAAGTCCACCACTAAACCATGTCTCTAAGCACCATATCTACATGTGTTTTAAATACCTCTGGGGATGCTGACTCAAACTTGTAGTGACAAGCCTGAAACTGAACACAGTACTTGAGATTTGGACTCATTAGTGCCAAGAACTGAGTCATGATCACTGCCCTAGTCCTGTCAGCCACGCTATTTCTGACACAAGCCAGGATGCCATTGGCCTTCTTGGCCACCTGGGCACACTGCTGGCTCATACTCAGCTGGTTGTTGACCAAATACTCTGATGTCCTGTTCCACCAGGAAACTCTGCAGCCACTCTTCCCCAAGCATTGCATCAGGTTGTTGTGGCCTAAGTGCAGGACTTGGCACTTGGCCTTTTTGAATCTTACACAATTGGCAGTGGCTCATTTATCCAGTCTGTCCAGCTTCCTCTATAGAACCTTCCTACCCTCAAGCAGATCAACACTGCCACCCAACTTGTTGACATCTGCAGGCATACTGAGGGTGCACTTGATCCCCTCATCCAGATCATTGATAAAGATGTTAAACAGAACTGGCCCTGACACTGCACCCCAGGGAGCATCACTTGTGACTGCTTCCAGCTGGGTTTAACTCCATTCACCATGGCTCTTTGGGCCCAGCCTTCCAGGCAGTTCTTTACCCAGTGAAGTGTACACTTGTCCAAGCCATGACCAGCCAGTTTCTCCAGCAGAATGCTGTGGGAAACTGTGTCAAAGGCTTTACTAAAGTCTAGGTAGACAACATCCACAGCATTTCCCTCATCAAGTTAGTGGGTCATTTTGTCATAGAAGGAGATCAGGTTAGTAGATACTTCAGAAGGAATAAATTTGGTAGTTAAATTTAGTGCCCAAGTAACTTTTAATAGAGCTACTAAATAAATAATCAGCTTCTGGTGTCTGAATGGTCATCTTCAGAGTCATGCTTGGGTCAAATTAGTTTTTGCATGCTGCCATTTGAAGAGTAAGTGAATCTTTCCACATGGAAGTTATCTTAATATAAGCAAAAATTAAGAAAAAGCTTACTTTTTCTTTTTTTCATGGCTGTCAGTTCCCCAGGCAAAACCTGTGGGCTTGATTACCTGCCCTCCAGCTAGCTTTGCATAACTGAGAAGGATTTTGTAGGCAGCATTAGTGCAGCCAGTGTATAAACAACATTGCCCTTTGTGGTTACATCACTTATTTGGGATTCTTCACAAAAATTCTAGCTGTATCATTGAATGTTCCCTAGTTTCTACTTCAGCATCTGGTTTGGTTATCTGTATTTATAAACAGTGACATTTCCACATGCCCAATAATTGTTTAATGCATGACTCGGATAAAATTATTTTTAATTAGCCCTTTATCAGTAACAAGGTTTTCCTTGTTGCTATGCATTTCCTGGTAGTTTGGGGTGTTGTTTTTTATAAAGAAATTTGCTTGGCAGAACACATTGCTTTATCAATTTACTCTTGAAAATTCCAGGATCCAAATATTGCACGTGGTTTTTTTCTCATTGAGAAGTAGCATGGATGTTTGCATCTTTTTTAATTATGTTTTCCTTATTGCTATATCTTTTTCAGCCTAAATCCATCTTTATCCCCCAAGAAGCTCATTCTTCTGAAAATGATAATCAAAGGACAATCAAAAGATGCCCAACATCAGAGAGTCCAGCAAAATCCGTATCTCAGGTTCCACCCAGACCACCACCTCCCCGGTTACCTCCACAGAAATCTAATGCTTTAGGTAATAAGAGTGACACCAGAAAATATGCAAATATTTCTTGAATAATCTAATGTGATTTAATTTCTACATCCTCATCTATGCACACATTAGAACATAACTGTGGTGATCTTTCTCTGGTGGGCAAGTAACAGACAGTGCATGAAAGCCAAAATACACGAAAAAAAATGCTTGAACTCTTAAGAGAGTCAGTTGTACCTTGTCATAAAGTTAATGACACAAT